AATTGTACATCTCCCAGAGCAATGGGGTGTGTCCATGGCTGGGGCTCGTGGGCACTACCGTAATACACCTAATAGCAATTATATCATACAGCGCCAAGCACGACGGGGTCCTGGTCTATGACAGGGGTGCTGGGCCCTATGGGTAATACAAATAATTAATAATACTGAGACCTGGGAGGCTACAGGCATCCTCGTGGTGGCGCTGATCTCCCTCACTGTGGTGTAAAGCTGGAGTAACCCTGTGGAAGTCGATGGAAGTGCTCCGGTGTAAGTGAGAGGAGGGTCAGATCCAGGGCCGGCTCCAGGCACCAGGCACCCAAGTACGTGCTTGGGGCGGCACCTGGTAAGGGGCGGCGGGAGGAGCGCGGCGGCAATGCACGGGGGGGCGCTCCAGCGGCGGGTGGGCTCCAGGGGGGGCAGCGCTCGGCGGGGGGGAGGGCGGGCTCCAGCGGCGCGGGGCTTGGCGGGGGGGGGGGGGGGGGGGGGGCTGGGGGCGGCGCTTTTTTTTGCTGCTTGGGGCAGCAAAAAAGCTAGAGCCGGCCCTGGTCAGATCCACTGGGCCTAGTTATCTCTGGAGTAATTCTACTGAGGTCAGTAGGCCCATTCCCCCTGGGCCCAAATGCCACTCTGGGGAGGAGCTCGTCTCTTTGGGCGGAGCTCACACTCTTCTTCCATGGGGTGCATACCACATGGATGCTATAGATTGGGCAGCCCTCCTCCTGCATCAGGAGGAAACCACCAGCAACTAGAAGGTGCCTCCAGATTTTAAGTCCTTTCACAATGCCCACCCCCATCCCCCCTCGTCCCTTTGCTGGGTAGGGCGGTTAGGACACACTGCAATGCGGCCTGGTGGCCAGTGGCGGAGAGGGAACGCATCCAAGGGATAGCTCACCCAGAGCAGGTTCCCCTGCCATGCCAGGGGATGGCCCAGTTCCTACTGAGAGTGTAACGTACGGGCTGGTGTGCGGATGCGGCTGCCCTCTGCTAGACAGACTCAGAGCTGCTCCCCCGCACGTCCTAGGCCAGCTGCTACTCCCAGCAAGGGGAGCGTCATCTCCTAGCTCAGTTGGGAGGGGCTGGTTTTGCGGGGCAGGATCTGCATGGCCCAGGGGTGCAGCCGTGACGTTCCAGCTCCCTGTGGGTGTGTGCTGATGCTGTCCGCAGGCTTGGGGTGCTCGCCATTGGAGGATGGGGAACTCCAAGGTCAGCGAGAGCGGGGCCATCTGATGCCCAGCGGGGATGGGCCCCCTGGTCTCTTGGGGGAACGGCGTGGCTGCGGTGAACGCGCTTTCAGGGGACGCTGTGCGATGCCATCCGAGACCAGCCGCCGCTAACGGCCGTCTCCTCCCGCAGGATCGAGCGCATCATCACCCCGCGCCTGGCGCTGACCACCGCTGAGTTCCTGGCCTACCAGTGCGAGAAGCATGTCCTGGTGATCCTGACTGACATGAGCTCCTACGCCGAGGCCCTGCGGGAGGTCAGTACGGTGACGCCTCCCATCCTGACGCCACAGCTGGACTCAGGCCACAGCCTTCCCAAGAGCTGGAGGTGCCTGTGAACAGGCCGGACTGGGTCCCACTGCCCAGGGGGTGCCGGACTGGGTCCCACTGCCCAGGGGGTGCCGGACTGGGTACCCACTGCCCAGGGAGGGCCAGACTGTCCCCAGGCGATCAGCCCCCAGCAACTCCCACTGAGGCAGGTGAACAAGCAGCGGGAGCTGCCGCCTTCATCAAACCCAGTCGATTCCTTTGGGCTCGGAGACAAATGTTTTGGAGACTCTGGCTCAAATGGGACACTCAGGGGTGATGTGACCCAGTTCCCCTGCCTGTGTCTGGCTCCCGTCCTCTCCCTTCCAGCTGCTCCCATCCACCTCCCGGCACACACGGGAGGCTCGGGCAGTGTCACATACACCCCAGGGAGCTGGCAGGTTGGGGTGAACGTGGCCAACTCTCCCACAACCTTCTGGGACTCGCTTTCCTCGCTAAGCTCCTTCCTTCTGGCTCCTTGGGCCTCACGCCCCGGCTGCACCCGGCATCCAACGGCTGCAGGGTAACATGTGCATTGCAGGGGGCTGGGGAAGGGGAAAGTGACTCCAGTCCACGCTTGTCTCTGTCCTGGGACCACATTTGTGTTTCCCGTCGGGTGTCCTCCCTCGGGCCCTGAACCTGGAGATTGCTAATCTGAGCAAACAGCCTGGCTGGCAGCCCAGTGACCAGCCAGCGAGGGGTCCTAGGCAGTGCCAAGGGGTTTTGGAGGCATCGTGGCAAAGGCGAGTTTTCAGGAGGAGGTTGAAGGAGAACAGAGTCGCTCTGTGGGTGTTCCCGGGGAGCTCCTCCCGAGCGCGAGGGGGGCGCTGCACCTACGGGACAGCCGGGCGGGGGAGCATCCTGCTCCGTATCCCAGACCCGGTGATGGGGCCAAAGTTGGGACAGGTCCTCCCCACAGGGCCCCTCGGCGGATCCCAGGAGGGTGGGACCCATGGCCGCTGGCCGGCAGCAGTAACTCTCGCTCCTGGCTCTTCCCCTTAGGTGTCGGCAGCCAGGGAGGAGGTGCCAGGCCGCAGGGGCTTCCCTGGCTACATGTACACCGACCTGGCCACCATCTACGAGCGCGCCGGGCGCGTGGAGGGGAGGAACGGCTCTATCACGCAGATCCCCATTCTAACCATGCCCAACGACGGTGAGCGGGGCGGGGCAAAGGGCACACGGCGGAACAGCCCACGGCCCCCACGGCAGTCAGGCCACAGGGGGTGCCGGGGGCATCAGCACGTTGCTCGGTGATTTGCCGCTGCTGCATTAGCAGCCAGGATCCCAACCGGTGGCCACGGCCCACACCGGATGGGGGGAGGGATCTCAGCAGGCGGCTGTGCCCCCACGCTCGGAGATGTGGGGGTGTCGGACTCAGCTGGACCCCCAGGGAGCAGGGCGAGAACCGGCCTCCTTCAGCACCCAAAACACCAGCTGTGAGCTAATGGACGCCAGCCTTCGCTTCGGCTAGCAGTGGTAGATCCTTTATCCTCTCCGAGGCCCAGCCCCCAGAGGGCAGCACCGCTCACTGACTCCTGCACACAGGTCTCCCGGGGCCCTTTGGGGGACCGGGCTGCGGCTGTAGTGTACGAGAAGCAGGAAATGGAAAGAGGGAAGCTGCCGCCCATGCATGACCTCCGCCCCACCTCCCAGTTCCTTATCTGAGGTCCCACAAGTTCCCCTATTCGCCTGCCAGAATCACTCAGGCTGCGGCCCTGCCCCCCTCCCCCCCCCCCCGCTGTCAGCATCCCGTCGGAGGGAGGGGACAGTGCCCGAATGCGGCTCCGAAGACCTTTACACGGGGAGTGCCCTGGGGAGCTGTCAGAAGGGGGAGCGCTCCCTCTGCTCTGGGAGGGGACTCGTCAGGGGAGGACGGGTCTGCAGGGCGTCACACGTGGGCTTTTCCTGGGATCGTTCCAGAGCGGGGTTCTCCCCCGAGCTACCGCTCTGCCCCCCACAAACCCTGTGTCCCCTGGGACTAGCAGGAGGCCGGGGCTGTTTGCACTGAGGCCCTGCGTCAGCACCGGGCCCCGATCCGGCTCCCTGATCACGCGGCTCCTTGGCAATTACCGAACTGTCCATCAATGGTAACACATCAGTGGGCTGGGGGCTGAGCCGTCCAATCAGGGAGAAGCACTGCCATGTGACTGGCATCTGTAACAATCCATCGGGAATGGAGACGGTCCAAGAGCCAATATTCGCGCGGGCTTCCCTACCTGGCAGGGGCCGGAGTTCTGGCTGAGGGTGCCGGGGGGTGGTATTGTGGGTGGGGTGGTCCTACCCTCTACGGGGGGGAGCTGGTGAGGGTCTGCCGAGGACAGTTCTCTTGGGCCGGGCATAGGCTGGCATCACCACGCCAGCTGTCAGAGGGTGGGCTCCTTGTGGAGGGGGCTCATTTGGCCCACAGCCCTTGGGTGGTTTGCAGGCCTCACAGGCTACCATTGGCTCTGTCTTTTCCTTCCCAGACATCACCCACCCCATCCCCGACTTGACGGGCTTCATCACGGAAGGGCAGGTGTACGTGGACAGACAGCTCCATAACAGACAGGTTCGCCGCCCCCGAATCCGAGAGCCGCTCCTTCCCCCTCTGTGTCTCGGGGTGGAGCAGAGGGCTCAGGCTCTGACCACAGCCAGGGAAACCCACTGCCAAAGGGGATGACCCCAAGGCTGGAACCGCAGGGGCGCACAGAGCCGTGGCTTTGGGGGAACTGGGGTGCTGACTGGCTAGCGAGGAGGCACGTGATAAAGAGAGGCGAGATCTACTGCCCAGGGCACAAACCTGGGCACCAGGAACTCCGCCCTTCTAATGCCAGCTGGGCTACTGGCCGCTCCTGTGAGCCTGGGCGAATGGCTTGGCCGCTGTCTGTAAAACGGGGCTCACAATCCCCATCTCCTCCCGAGGTTTCTTGTGGGGGGTTCACTAGCGGGTGTCCGTCCGGCACTTAACACACCCGCCGTGCAGGGCGTGCTAAGGCCGTCGTGTTCATGTGTTTTCTGCTGCCACAGATCTACCCCCCCATAAATGTGCTGCCCTCCCTGTCCCGCCTGATGAAGTCGGCTATCGGGGAGGGGATGACCCGGAAGGACCATGGTGACGTTTCCAACCAGCTGGTAAGTGCAGCAAGAGGGGGTAGGAATAATTTGTTACGTTAGTAGTACCCGCTGAGGGATTCTCCATCCCGACCCCTCTCTCGTTCCCCTTCATACGGAGAGCCGGAGGCTGCCCTCAGTTACACCGGCAGTGAACCGGGGTAAGTGCGCTGACTTCCCCAGAGGAAGTATGGTCCAGTGGTTAGGGTGATAGCTTGGGACACTCGGATCAATTCCCTGCTCTGCCCGGACTCCCTGTGTCCTGGGATCGGTCACCTAGTCTCTGCCTCGGTTCCTTACATGCAAATTGAAGACAGCAGCCCTTCCCGGGGGATAATCTGTCTTACGTGGCGCCCAGCACCGTAGTATCTTCAGTGGATTTCTCCCCACGCGCCCCTGTTGCAAGTTCTCCTGCACCCCATTCACCGGCCCATCCTTTCGGTCGCACCCCCAGTACGCCTGCTACGCCATAGGCAAGGACGTGCAGGCCATGAAGGCCGTGGTCGGGGAGGAGGCGCTGTCGGCCGACGACCTGCTGTACCTGGAGTTCCTGCAAAAGTTTGAGAAGCAGTTCATCGCCCAGGGTAAGGAGCCCGGCTTCCAGCTCCACGCACAGGCGCCCAGCGGGCAGGCAGAGCCCACGCGTCTGCAGCAGGGCGGGGAAGGGCACGGCTGAAGCAAGCCACTGTTAGCTACAGAGGACGGGCTGGGGGTCCCCGCTGGCAGTGCCTTGGCTCGCAGGCCGGCATGGCGGCCCGGTGCCCTCCTTCCGCAGAGAGCCCGCAAACGAGTGATGCTCAGTGCAAAGACACCCGCGGTGGAGCCGACGTCGGGCTTTGCGGGCACAGCCTACGGCCAGCTCAGGACAGCAGGGGCTGAAAGCTCCCGTCATAAAAAACTTTGTAGTCCATGTCTCCAGAATCCCATTCTCCAGCCCGCCCCGAGGCCCCAGGGCCCCCTGGCCATTCTCCAGTCTCTCCTGGGGCCCTCTGGCCGTTCTCCAGCCCCTCCCAGGGGCCCGGGGCCCCCGCCCATTCTCCAGCCCCTCCCGGGGGCCCTTCCCATTCTCCAGTCTCTCCTGGGGCCTGGGTGTCGCTGGCCATTTTCTAGGACTTGGTGGGGTGTGAGACTCTTTAGCCCTTTAGGCCCTCCTGGTGCTCACGTATCTCTAGCCGTTCTCCAGACCAGCTTGGGGCGCGGGGGTCCACATTCATTTCTAGCCCCTCCTGGGGCGTGGTGCAGGTGTCCACCCTTGGGCCCCAGGTGTCTGCAGCCAGTCTCCCAACACGCCTCTGTCCCGCTCGCCAGGCCCCTACGACAACAGAACCATCTTCGAATCGCTGGACATCGGCTGGCAGCTGCTCCGCATCTTCCCGAAGGAGCTGCTAAAGCGGATCCCCGAGAGCATCCTGGCCGAGTACTACCCGCGGGAGGCCAAAGCGCCAGGCCCGCAGCATCACGACACCGCCCTGTAACCGCCTGCTCCGCTCCGGGCCAGCCCCTCGCTCGGAGCCTAGTTACCAGCTCCTGTCCCCGCCCGTGGGTGCTTTGGCAGCGTATTTATGTAAAGGAACAGCCCCTAGTACTCTGAGATGGCTCTGCGGCTGGGTGGTATTTACACAGCCGGCAGCTAGTGTCCTCTCTGCGCGATCACGCTTCTGTGATGCTGTCACAGAGCTGCTGTCCCAACACGCCCCCTTGTGGCTGGAGATACACAGCTCTGCCTCAGTTTCCCCATGGCAATTTTCAGCCTGCTCTGGCTGTAAAGGTGACTGGCCCTCTGGCCCAGCCACTGGAAAGCATTCAACCCGTTGTGGGGTGACAGTTCCTTAAGCCAAAGCCAATACATGCTGAAAATAAAAGATTCCCTCTTTAACCCCTTCCTGTCTGGGGCAAGGTTTGCCTGCCCCGTCACATCAGCCACAGCAACCGCACGGAGCAGCAGCTGCTGCTGGGGACCAGAGGCCCTGTGAGATGAGCAGTCCCTATGCTAACAACAAAGCCATGCTCCAGGTCCCCTCTCCCGGGAGCGGCCGGCGAGGTAGAGAGCCTGGGAACTTAGCTGCCTGCCCAGCAGTGCTCCCTCTAGTGGTGCGAAGGGAGCTCTGCCGGGTTGTGGAGACCCCCTGCGTCACACCGCAGCCTCTGGTCCATAGCTAGCCAGGGCAGTGGGGAGGAGGCACTGGGGACGATGGGGTGGAGGGAGCCCTGGGCCTCATCCCTCTGGCTTATCGTTCGCCAGGAAGGCAGGGCTAGGAGAGCGCATTGGCCAGACCGGTCCCGCCTTTGCAGCCCCTTCCTTGCAGCGGATTAAGCCCAGCGCTGATGTCTCTTCACCACTATCCATTCCCCCCACCCCCCCACACACCCTGCGTTTGTCAGTTCCCTGCCCCCATCCAGCCCTCTCTGGCCAGAGGCAGAGATCCAAGCTCTTCTCCCATGGAGGCTGGGGTGAGATGTGTGCGCTGCTCCCCCCCAAACCCAGGCAGGCCGAGCGCCCCCTACTCCCATCTGGGATAGCCGATTTCCTGCCCCCCCAGGCTGCATGGTGGCTGTAGCAGCCTGGGCTCTCTGGGGAAGGGACTGGGTTAAAAGAGGGGGGATCCCACATCAGGGAAGGAGGAAGAACACCCCCGCCAACAAATTCCGCTTCCTTTGCGGGGTTGTTTTTATTGGAAACCAAAGGTCTTTTCAGCCAACGAGGTCCAAATCAATACCCGAAAAGAGCCCTAGAGTGCCCCCCACCCCTGCCCTGGGGTGCCTGGGTCCCTCCCTCCCAGCTCTCCTCCCTGTGCTTCTGGCTCCAGTCTTCCCAGCACGGCCACAGCCCCTGTCCCCGCTTGGCCTTAAGCCGTAGCAAAGCAGCCTGTTGTACCGCACAGCCCTGCCAGGCGTCCTTCTCCTGGAGAGAGATCGCTTCCCACCATGTGCCCCAGGCCAGGAATCCCGGTTTGCTCCCCCCGGCCTCACCGGCTCCAGGCCTGACCAGACATCGCTATTTACAACGTACCATGGGCTCGGACCCGCACGCAACGGCGAGCGGGATATTAACCTGCAGTAAAAAAAAGTGGAGGGAAAAATCCGTCTCTGGCTTTTTAATTGTGGGGCATGCGGGACCCTGTTTGGAAACGACCCCCAGCCTTTGGGGGGGGGGGGTTCGAAAAGCGCCATCCCGCCCGGGTGGTCGGCTTTCACCAGCTAACCCTGCATCACCGCTTTCCAGCTGATCGTGGGGCGGCCGCACAGGTTTAACTATATCAGGTCTTCGCCCGAAGGCCGTGAAGCCAAGGCCTGGCAGAGGGTGTGGGTCGGAACAAGGAAGCACCAGCCCGTCCCGGTCTCTGGAGTGCTGCCGAGTGACATCAGAAGCGAAGGAGAGGAAAACAGGCTCTGAAAGCTGCTGGCGCTGGCTGCTCTGGAGTCACACTAGAACTTGGGGATGTCCTGGGAAATTGTGTCCACCCTGACCTGGCGCGCTGGCCGGTTCCTGAGCAGAGGAACGAACGCTGTGGTGTTATCAGAGATGGTTTAGTTGGGGTTGGTCCTGGTTTGAGCAGGGGGTTGGACTAGATACCTCCTGAGGTCCCTTCCAACCCTGATATTCTATGATTCTAGCATGGTGAGGCCAGGACCGGTGCAAGGAAGTTTCGCCCCCTAGATGAAACTTCCACCTTGCGCCCC